GAGCCGCAGATTGCCGACCCCCGTCTTAGAACATTTTTGTTATCCTTAAATTTGATAATCTAAAGTAAACATTAGATAATTTATAATCGAACTATAATTCAATTGCATTACATTTCCATTTAATTTTAACGTTGATGTTAACGATGGATCAAACCATGTATCCAATACATCTCTTACCAATTTTTGACTAAAATTGATTGTTTTCATAGGATCGTAAGATTGTTTAACATAAGGAAGTGTTTCCATAGATAATTCCTATTAAATAATTTTAACTAATAATATCAACAATTTGAAATAATAATTGAAACAATAAAATATAATATTTACCTGAAAAATAATATATATGTATAGCTCCTCCTTGGGTTTAATAATTTGATTGTTACTATTATTATTATTTCTTATGTTCAAAGAAAGTCTTTGAAAAAAATCCCAAAATATTAAATATAATTCTTCTTCAACCCATTTAATATTTATTGAAATATGTATAACGGGTGACAACTTTAATTAATATTATTTTACTTTATTAAACATGAATTACAAAAATAATAGAAATATATATATATATATATGTATATATGTATTTATGTATATATATATGTACATTAATGCAAGGTATCCTATATAACTGTTGAGTACAAGCGAGATCAGGGAATGATTCTACATAATAAAAAAAAAAAAAACTAATTAAAAAATATAGAATAAAATTTGTTCATACAAATATGCTTTCATTTAGAATCATCCCCCTTCTACTCGCTTGTCTCACGAATTAAGAATATATACCCTGTTTATCAGAGAATTAAAAAACAAAACAAAAAATTATTATATTTTATCAAATATTATTCAAGTTCAATTGTAAAAACAAAAAGAAGAAGAAGAAATCTTTAAATTACCTCTATCGGTTCATAAATGTTAAAACCAGTTGCGTATTGATACAATCTTTTCGCAAGTATAATATCATCACTGCGACATAAAAGTGTAATTGCAGCACGCCATACTATTACATTGGTAAATGGGAAATTATATTCGATTATTAAATGTCCCATTGCAGCGACCAATTGAATTTCCATCGTTGATAAAAATGTCAACATTAATTTGTCAACATATTGTGAGAGATCTGAAACAAAACAAAAAAAAAAGCATTTATAATAATATTTCTATATTAATCATCTTGATATATGATATTTTCTTACCAATAGGTTCATAATTATTATTTTGATCATTGGCTAAAAATTGAAACATAAAAAATGCATTCTCCGATGATTCTTTACGAAGTGCATCCAATAAAATTTGTATTATCCTCGTACGAAGATAACAATCTTCTGGTTTACTTAAGACATTCCAATTTTGACGATTTGTACTTATTATATTGCTTTCTGAAAATAATGATTTATATTTTTATTTGATACCACTTAACATTTTATAATTGTAATTGTAATTATATAAATTTTACCTTTGAGTAAAAGGAATGCTTTGTTAACTTGATTATTTGCTAAATAAATTTCAGCAGATAATAGAAGAAATGTAGCATCAAAATCAACAAAACATATTTCTAAAGTTTCCAATAATTTATATGCCAATATCCAAATTTTGTTGATAACTAATTTCATTAAAATATATATGGCAATATCGACTAATATATCGATTATTTCATTATTTGCATTAGTTCTAACTGAAAATTATACAAAAAAAAAAAAAAATGAAAAATTAATTATTACTTTATTATTAAATAAATTCAGAATTGAATAATTAATGAAGATAAATGTCTAATTCGATTTTACTTGCATGTTTTATAATCTCAGACACATAATATTGTCCATTATTAATTTCCTTACAAAATATTTGAAAACAGTAACGATAACATATTACATCTTGATCTGTTTTTTGATAATTATTTAATACATTAATAATATAATCGTAATCACCAAATAATAATTTGTTCTTTAAATTGAACAACGTTGTATACTGACAAAATTTATCAGATAAATCATCTATTAGAAAATAAATATAAATAATATCAATGAATATTAATATATATATATTAATTTAACTTGTAATAATAATTTATATCATATTGAATATATATATGTTTATTTGTTGAATACTTACTATCTGAACATGACACACATGAATTGTTAAGAATTCTTTCATTATAATTTTCTTCAAATTTGTCCAAAGAAGAGTATAAAAGACTTTGATTATTATTATTATTCTTATTAACTGTATATAAAGATGATAAATTGTTACGAATATTTTCACATTGATGTTTTAATACTAAATTATTGAAAGATGACAGTAAATTTTGATCCAATTGATTGATTTCATCAGGATGTAACTTTTGTATTAAATTTATATTAACATCTTGAACATGTTGACGATTTATTATACAATCATTTAATATCCTTTCGATAATATTCTTGTCCGGTTTTATAAATTTAAACAAAATACTCAAAGCATCCCAACATTCGTAAGATTTTATTCTATCTTTTATCAAAATCAATATATAATGTAATGTTAACTTATCATTATAATGAATTTGGCATAATTCATTTATTATACATTTTGGACTCATTCCTTTTTTTAATAATGCTTGTACAGTGGCATGAACAAATTTCAAATATGGCTTTTCTTGTAAATAATACCCTTTATATATATTCAAAATGGAAATGATATTAAGTTTGTCTACAATTTGAATATATAATTCTCCTAATAAATATGTGTATCTCAAAGAACACAAATGAAACAATATACTCGTAAGATGTTCTTTATAATTAATTATAGTATAATTAATTAATTCTTGTATCTGTAATATAAAACGGAAACAGACAAACAAACAAACAAACAAACAAAACAAAACAAAACAAATCAGAAATTTGTTAATTATATAAACAAAAGTTTGAAGAATTTTCAAGAAACACAAGATTTTCTTATATTACATACCTCATGTTTAAATAAACATGTCTTCTTTATATTGTTTTTGCAAAAGCTATCTTTCATCATTTGAAAACAGTATTGTTCATGAATATTGTAACTCCACATGTCTACTTTTATAGGTGCTTCAATTTTATTTTGATCATTGGACAAAGTATTTGTTCTACTGTTTACTTCATTATTTTTGTTTTTTTGTTCAGATTTTGTCTTTTTATCAAAAGTACTACTGGATTTATTAATTTGCACGGGTATTATTTTGACAGTAGAATTCTTTTTTTTATTCTTTTTTTCTATTTCTTTGCATTCATTCGTTTTTTCCATTTCTTTGCATTCATTTTTTTTCTGCAAATTTGTTAATCTGTTATTTAATGGAATATTATTACATTGTGCAACAGTATCTAATCTTTGAACACATTTTAAATTATTATTTTGTTTACTCGTATTTGAAATATTTGGAGAAACAATTTTATTCTTCTTACATTTGTCCATTTCAATGTTCTTTTTACATGGCGTAAGAACATCATCTCTGTAAAGAAAGAAAAACAAACAAACAAATGTATTATTATTCAAATATTGAAATAATAATCTTAACAATAATTAACAAATGTTTGAATAAATTATTATTATTATTATTATTATTATAATATAAAAAAAACCATTAATATACTTACAAAATTAAAGATGTATTCGAGTATATGGAAATGTAATCATCGTCATCACTAACATCTTCAGTTTTATTATCAATTTTTTTGGAATAATCTAATTGTGTTCTACAAATTGATATTTCATTGGACAAATTATTTTCATCAAAGTGTTCCACACTTTTATCATATTTTTCAATTACTTTTGTCTCATTCTTTTCATTCTCTAAATTAATCTTTGAATTATTAGAAAGATTTGTATTCGTATCACAATAAATCTCATTGGGTTTTTGTATAAGCTCTACTTTACATAAATTATTATCATTATTATTATTATCAATATTAATCTTATTATTATTATTATTAGAAGATGAAGTTACATTATTATGTGTATCTTGTATTACATTAGCATTGATATTTACATTATCATATTTGAAAGATGAATTAGAATTCTCATTGATACATAAACGATTATTAATTGTACTGACACTTTTACTTTTAACAAATAATCTATCGAGTTTAAATTTTTTATTACTTTCATTAAATTGCATTTCTCCATTTTGACTCAACCACTTTCTTTTTGTATAAGAAGAAATAATATTATTATTATTATTATTATTTTTGTTCATTTGTTGCACAATATCTTTATCATTATTGTTAATTGAATGAAGACTGTTAATATCAGTTACATTTGTTAATCTGTTAATTTGTAATTGTTGATGATTATCTTGATAATTTTCAGTAAATTTATGT